AAGTGATAGTGAATGGAATGCGGTTAAGGTTAGAATTGCGTGATTTAGGGGTGAGAGCAGTGTTACGATCTATGGAAGAAGCTTTAAGCATAGCACGGTCGATGATGGTAATAGGGTAACCACGATTAAGAAAAAAGGAACGCATTTCTTGACATTTGTGAGAAAAATCAATCATTAAATGTACCCGCTGTAATCTTTCGTATGTGGGCGAGACTGGCCGCCGTCTTGGTGATCGCATTTGCAATCATCTTTATGATATTCGCAATAACGATCCCACCAAACCAGTTTCCCGCCATTTTAATCTGGCTAACCATTCTCTTTCTGACTTCATTGTTTTCGGTCTTTCTTTGCTTAACGGCAACAATGATTGTCGCAAGACCAAAGAAATGCGGCACTATTGGGCACTCTTAGTCCCAACGGGATTAATGAACGCTTTACTTTCAACTAACCTTTTCTTTTGTCTTTTGATTGTTTGTTTTTGTTTCCTTGCCTACCTTGCTTTCATTGGTTTCTTTTGTCTTATTCTATCATATATACACTCCTTTCTACCACTTCTTTCTCTTTTACTCCGACGAAGGACTAACGTCCGAAACGTCAGTAAGTTTTTTCATCTTTTCACGGTGGATAATTTACCTTTTCATCATTACTGTTTCATTAGAAACACCGACGCAGCTCACACTAGTTTTTAGCTAGTTATATCTTCTTATGATAAGTGTTGTCTAGACGCATTCGGTTTAAAATCAATGATGAGTTTGATAGTTCGATAACACGAAGCGTTGAAAATTGAAACGAATTTTGTTTTGGAAATTGAAACGAACTTTCTGTGGTTACTTCTGTGCCAAATTGTTTAGTCATCTTATTTACTTCCATTTACATAAAACAATATCCAAGAAAAATAACTTAAGCTAAACTTTTAAAGCTTTTAAACTCTTTTATGTAGGAAACCTTTTAAAAAGCTTTTAAAAACTTTGATTTTTCAGCTTCAATATCAAAGAAAATATTTGCTCGCTTCTACAGAAATATACATAATTTTCAGACTCAGGAATTTATTATTATCAGGAATTTATTATTGATAAGTCATATCGCGACAGGAGACTCGATTTGGTATCTCTTCTCCCTATCCCACTTCACTGGATCCCGGCACTAATTGGGTTCAAATATCCAAGTAGTAAAGTCATGTCCTAATATAAATCACTTGCTCGTTTTGTTATTTTTTCTCTGATAAACATCAAAACGACCAGTAAGGAAGTTTCTCGATGCCATGCCAAGGGTGGATCCAGGGTAGTTTACGTGATTTCCGTAAACTACTCAATTTTTTTCAAAGCTACACATTTCTTTCTAAATAATGACAAAATATGTGTATTACATTATTCTAGCAACTACTAGAAACGACTCACTTGGTTGTTTTTCA